TTTTTTTTTTTTTTAATTTTTTGTCATTGTAGATGGACAGAATACCTTTGTTTATTTTTATGTGGTCCTGCAGATCGAACCCAATGCCTCCTCACGCATCCTAGGCAAGCACTCTGCCACTGAGCTACAGCCCCGGCCCAATCCTGCATTCTTAATCACTCCACTATATTGGATACTGTGAGGACATATGTAAAACTTGACCATTCCCACTTAACCAGCAACAACAACAAAAACAATTAAAAAAGAAGTGCATCTTGAGCAGATGTTGTGGCTCAGGGGCAGAGCACTTGCCTTGCACCTTGAGGCACTGGATTTGATCCTCAGCACCACTTAAAAATAAATAAACATAATAAAGATATTATGTCCATCTATAACTAAAAAATAAAAAAAGTTATTAAAAAATAGTCTTTTAAAAAAATAAATGCATCTCGACTTGTGAAGTACCTTATTTCAGGTTCTGAAATTTTTATGGGTCCTGAAGTCTTTCTCAATTTGAGACTTCAATATGGAGACTTTTCAAAGTATCTGTCTAGATCTCTCAGCACCTACCTTCTTGTGAGATTTTAAATCTAAGAATCTGTTGTTGGGGGACATGATGCACACCTGTAATCCCAGTGACTGGAGAGGCTGAGGCAGGAGAATTGCAGATTCAAGGTTAGCCTCAGCAATTTAGTGAAACCCTGCCTTGAAAGTCAAAAAGAGAAGAAGACAACGATGATGACTGGGGAATAGTTAGTGGTGGAGTGCACCTGAATTCAATCCCCAGTACCAATAAACAAATAAATTTAAGGACCTGTGAAGTCAGATAAGTTAGATAGATCCTCTAAGTCAAACCCCACACACTTTTGGTGTTTGAACCCAGAGCCTTTAGTATGTCAAGCAAATGCTCTACCACTAAACTATATCCCTAGCCCAGAGAATTGTTTTAAAACTGTACTCTTCAGGTCTGGGGGGAGGGGCAGCTCAGTGGTAAAGCATATACAAGGTCTTGGGTTCAATCCCCAGCACTGCCCTTCTCTAAAGGCAAAATAACTTATATCCTCTGTGAGGAATTTCTTACACTGGAGTCCCTCTATGTGGTCTATAGAAACACTAATGACAGCTGGTGCTGGGGTGGCTGACATTCGAGTGTGTGACCATGTTGGGACTGGGATTTGCTGGGGTATCCTGTATTTTCCCAGGAGGCTGGTTGTGGTGAAGGTATTGAGCTGGGGTGGATGGGGTGGGGACCTAGAGAAAAGATCAAGCTGACTCATGTGCTCCCTTAAAAGAAGGCAAAGCCTGATTTCCCCTAGGGTCAGGAAGTCCTGAGAGTTTCATGTTCTTCCATGAAATGGAAGTGCTGGGGATTGAACCCAAGACCTTGTATATGCTTTACCACTTCCTTCCTTTGAATGAAAGATGTCTCTTATTAAAACATAAAAACTGGGGGCTGGGGTTGTGGCTCAGAGGTAAAGTGCTCATCTAGCATGCGAGGGGTACTGGGTTTGTTCCTCAGCTCCACTTGAAAATAAAAATAAAGATATTGTGTCCACCTATCACTAAAAAAATAAATATTTACAAAAAAAAAATAAAAATTGTGGCCCTTGAAGATAGGAACTAAATAATTGGTGTGTTAGAATAGAACCCAGATGAGCTGCAAACTCTCTCCAAGTTGGGATGGTTGAGGGAGGGGTCCAGAGTTCAATCATGGCTTTATCGCTTTTGGGCTTTGAGGCTTCAGAAAAGTCCCTTCTCTAATTCTAATAGGTGCTAACTCTCACTGTGAGTGTGCACCGCACAGTGAGAGAGAAACTTTGTTCTAATAGAGCCTACTTTTGGGGTTACTGGTAAGTGATGTGGTGAAGAAAGTAGCAAGAACAGAGACAATGGAGGTAGTGGGGTCAGAATAAGGCTCTAGAAGATGTGTTAGCTGAGACTTTGGACTTCTGAGCTGACAGTGAGGTATCGATAAGACCTGGCTGAACATGAAGGAGATAGGGAGAGTGCTCCAGGTAGAAGGAGCAACCAGACACAG